TTCTAGACCTGGAAGGCCCCCTAAGAGGACTCAAAGTGTCACCTCCCCAGAGAATTCTCATATCATGCCACATTCTGTCCCAGGCCTAATGTCTCCTGGAATCATCCCGCCAACAGGTAGGATCGTTAGAAACACCTTCACACGGGCAATCTTTTGAACACTTGGCTTATACCCACTTGTCAATAAATTAACAGTCTAGGAAACCAGCAACCAAATATCGCAACAGAGTTCCATAATGTAACATTATTGTTACATAAATTTATTGTATGTAATGGAAACTGTGGCAGCTGAGTACTTCAAAGTATAAATAACTGAGCAAATAATAATCCTTTATAATTTTTTCCCCTGTTCTTTTTCTTTGTAAACAAAAAACCTTTCAAAGCATGAATTACCTATCATTAGACAATTATCTCCCTATTCATTTTTAATAGATCAGATATCTTCTGATTTTTTGCTGCTTTGCTTAATTCGATAATGTCATCATGAATATAGTTGCCTGAAGAAACTGAGTTAGTTAAAATAACTCCATACTGCACACATGTCTTTCTTAATTTTTCATCCTGAAATTCTATTTTTTGATACATCTCCTGAGGCCATATACTAAAGTCATGTAACAATCTGTTTCTCAAACTACTATTTTCTTTTGAAAGTTACTGTAACGTCTCCTAGCAGTGACTTGCTCTTTAGACATAGATAAACTAAGAAGGGCTGTGTTGCAGGAAGGAGATGAACAGAGCCAGCTGAAGATGGAGGCACCCAACGGTCAAGCTGTTGATGGTGGTGCCACATTCTCTCTCTTCACAGAATCATAGAATCGTTTTGGGTGGAAGAGACCTTTAAGATCATCAAGGCCAACCGTTAAGTTGGACTTACCAAGTTACCACTAAACCATGTCTCTCAGCACCGCATCTATTACAGATGACTTAAATTCTCTCACTTGCTTCAGCAAAGCTCAGCTGAGCTTCCACTTCTTCCTGAGTTGTTCCCTGCTTGATTGCATAGCTAACCCCATATCATTCTGTGATTCTGTAAAGGACAGATAATAAAGTAGACAGATCCTCATAGAGAGGAAGATTGCTGGGTATCGGAGATCGGATAGATGGCTGGATGTTTGTGTACATGCCCATGATCATCTGTCTGTTTAAGTATGAGCATGGTCCTTGGCATGGTTTGACAACATTCTCAAGAAAATGTCATGGATGCCCCATCCCTGGAAGTGTTCAAGGCCAGGCTGGATGGGTCTTTGAGCAACCTGCTCTAGTGGGAGGTGTCCCTGCCCATGGCAAGGGGGTTGGAACTAGATGATCTTTAAGGTCCCTTCAAACCCAAACCATTCTACGATTCTAAAAGGCACAGTTTGGGAAATACCATGTGCCAGAAACTGTTGGCAGTTTGGATGCAAATATCTGGAGGAGGGAGGAAGGTGAAGAGAGTTTAGCTCTGTGGACAAAAGTGAGGCCATGCCTCTTGCCCTTAGGGCTCAAGAGCTGCTTTACATAGTGAGAGAGACACATTGCCAGCGGTATTTTATTAGAATTTTATAGTTTTTCAAAATGCTAAAGATCACGAGGAGTGACAAATCAGACAACTAAAGTTGGTAAGAGAGAGTTATAAAGTAAGCAAAGGGAAGGAGGGATGAGGCTGAGAGTGTAGGCAACCACGGGAGGGTAGGACTCACAGTGGTTGTCTGGGCAGATGTGATCAGCAAAAGAAAATATGAATTGGGATCAAAATACTTTACACAGAAGGACATCTAGGATGAAATCTAGTAAAGGACATAAAGTTGCAGCGTGAATGCTACGTGAGAATGATAGGGTCTATGTAGGGAAAGAAAGCAACTTTATAGGGCAGGAGCATTTGTGTTTATGAGGGAGAGATCAAAAATTGCAGAAGCAAAGGGAAATTATTTGGGGGAAGTAAGGCAGGAAAATATCAAAGGCAAAAATGCATGTGAAAAGTAGAAAGGAGATGACATGAAAGAAGTCAGAGACAAATAAGCAGGCCAAAAGAGGGAGAGAGGAAAAAACCCCTTTGTCAACAGTATCATTTGGGGTTTTGTGTTACAGTTAATATATAAGAGCAGATCTCCTCTTGATATAGTATCTTCTGGGTTTTTTTTTTCTTTTTTTTTTTGTTCTAAGAAAGCAGCTTAAAACCACAACCAATGCCTAAAGTATCCAATTCCTCTCTAGTCCTTTAAAGCTGGTCATAACAAGTTAATGATAAAAATACACGGTACTAAAAACACAGATCCAATTTCTTAGAATATCAGCCCACAAAGCCAGATGTAGATCTTTTTAAAATGATGATTAAAAAAAAAAAGAAGAAAATAATTCAAAATTAAAGAAAATAGGCATATATAAGGTTATCATTCATCAAATCCTTTTAGGATGGTAATGCTTTGTTAGTATTTTGCAAAAGAGGAAAGGTTTAAATGAAATCGCTGTTAAGTTTGAACTGGTTTCACATTACATGGCTTACCACAACAGAAGGGGTGAGCAGGATTTTTTCCCATTGTGGTGGTGTTGAATCTCAAGCAGCACAAAAAAAATGCAAACACTGACACTATGAGCAACAAACTCTTGGAGATAGTGTTCCATGGAGTGTGGCTCAGCAGAGGTAAGGAACATCATGACGGCAGCACCCCATGACAGTCCTTTCAGCATTTTATAGACAGGCAAGTATAAAAATAGTTGTATAACCTGACTTGGAGTTCAAATCAATGAACATTTGAGCAGCTACATTGTAAGTCCAAAAACCACTGTAAGAGCCCTATGAAGAAAGAACTGCTCTAACTGCAAGAGATGATGTAGATGCAGTTATGTGTTACCACATTAGTTGATACTAGAAATTTCTTGTCGCTTGTGAACGTTTTCCTTCGTATTTTCACTGTGTACCCTGTATAGTCATAGAATCACAGAACAGTTGAGGTTGGCAGGCATGCATGGCAATCATCTAGTCCAGCCTCCCCTGGTCAAAGTAGGGTGACACAGAGCATGTTGTTCAGGGCTGCGTCCAGTTGGGGTTAGAGCACCTTCAAGGATGGAGACTCCACAATGTCTCTTTGCAACCTGTGTTTGACTACTCTCTAAATCTTTTTTCTTACTGTGTTTCAATTTGTGCCCATTTGGCAATGGGCAAGAAGATGAGAAGAACCTGTCTCCATCTTCTTTGCTCCCCCTATCCCTTTCAGATATTCATACACATTGATAAGATCTCCTCTGAGCCTTTTCCAGATTAAACAGTCCAAGCTCTCTCAGTCTCTCTTCATATGTCAAGTGCTCCAATTCCTTAACCATCTTTGTGGCTGATGACTCCTTGTTCGAGAAGTTTATGAAGTTTGAATTTCCTCTTAGGATCCAGCTCTAAGCAGAAAAAAAAATACCAAAGTACCACATTGTTAAGTGCTTCCCCCCCTTTCTTTCTCTTTTTTTGGTAACAAATTCTTCTTTTTAAGCTTTCTGATTGATTTAATAATCTGAGTATAATAACTAAGTTTCCTTCCTGCCTACAAAAGAGTGTAAGTGATCACACAAACAATTATGTGCTATTTAATGCTCTTTAAATAACAGAGATCTGCAATTATTAGGTATATCTAGGATACATAATGCTATGATTTAATGTATGAGTTTTACTTGAAAATTTTCCTTTTCCTGAAATCTGCTGCATGATACAGAAATGCACATTTAAAGGTGGAAATCCTGGTTTCTAAAGGGGCTGGTTCTGCATGTGTTGTTTATGTATGCAAATAATAGTGGTACAAAACTGATCCAAACTGAAAACTCATGCAGATAATGTTGCATCATCAGTTAGAATGGATTTGGTTTAGGGACTAAGCTGAGATTTAGGGAATACATTGAGAAGGAAAACAAAAAGGATAAAGGAATAATATTTTTTTAAGGGAGCATAAAATGAAGAAGTGAGGATCATCTCTTGGGTGATATTCTGTCCATTTTTATCACAAGATTCATAAATACTACCCACAGTTGCTGATCTAACCACTGCCTTGCATTAGAGTCAATTTACAGAATGTTCCCAACTTTAGAAAAGACTGGTCAGCTAACAAAGGACAGTCTTATGTATTAAAATAAATGTAGGGCCTTTGAAGGTGTGACAAAGTGAGAAGTGTGTAGTAACAGGAAATTAAGAGCTTCTTGAATTATCCAGAAAATTAAAATCTGCCTACATTACAAATGATGTAGTCAGAAAAAAAGAAGAGTGTGGTGTAGGTTCAGACAGGTGTACTGACTTTTCAGGCTTATCTCGATAACTCCTTGAAGCCCTTCCAAAACTAGATGTCTCATCATAGTTAACTTTGATCCCCATATCTCTGTGTACTGCAGATCTTTTCTTGGCTAATGTGCTTAGAAGGCTTCAAAAGTTGTCTAAAGTTGAAACAGTAGATAATTGTAATTAATCAGAAAAGCAGTGCTGCAGTTCTTGAGCAGAGTGTATGATATACGTCGTGCTTTGTATTTTTATGTCTGTAGTTCCTATATAACATATAAAATGATATTTCCATTATTTTCATACAAACTTTGAAAAGAAGGTCTTTTCAGTTTTCAATTTTTAAATATTTTAGGTTTTGAAAGTGTTTTATAAATCTCCTGAAAATTCTTCTGCATCTTGGCCTACTGAGTGTGTAATCTACAGGTGGTGAAACAATTAACTACAAAACTCTTGTATTTATTTCAAGAACTGCATCTTTCTCTCAAAGAGAAAGTGGGACTATAACATGCCCTTGAAAATCACTATTATAGGGCATGATAAGAATACTACTTCATATATCTCTCGCTATATAGATACATCTTTGTCAATTAAAATAAAAGTAATTTAAAAGCACCTTACGTGTTTAATTTATTAATAAATATTATGATTGTTATTATTTTGAAAATATTTGCTTTACGATAGTTACTTCTGTCCCCCTGTTCCATATCTGATACAACTCTTCTTTTCCAGTGTAAAGACACTAAGCTTCTTCTGAAATGTTTCATGTGTACAAATTATAACTACTTTCCTGTATTAAACTTCTATTCTGCTTTTTCCTCTGAAGTGATAATCTGAAAATGTAATTTCTAATCTCATCCTTATTTTCTCTCTGTCTGTGTGCCTGAAT